GGGATCGGGCAGTGTTTCGTTCTGCTGTGCATGGGGTCGCTATGAGTCGGAAACGACTCGACGGCACTTAACAACAACAACAACATTTAAATCTTAACTCTTCAAGGCCCAGTTCAAAGCTTACCTCCTCTAGGGAGCCTTCCCTGCCTGCCCCCACACCGCAATATTAATCCTCCCCTATTCTTCCTGTGCCACTGGACATCCACAAGGCTTTGGGTCAGACAGTCAGCTGCCCTTCTGCTGACAGATAAACCCTTGGAGGGCAGGGCCATATCTCTGATATCTTTCCTATGTCCTTTCCCTGCCTCACCTGTCGCTGGATATTTTGTAAGTGTTGTTGAGTTGGTTGGATGGATGGATAGATAGATGAAATAATGGACTCATAGACAAGAGGTTGGCCAGACCAACAAATGGGTGCATTGATGGTCCAGTAGATACACTTAGAGACAGCTAAGAGGATGGATAAATTAATGGATATAATTAATGGATATATATTCCTGGTGGCACAGTGGTTAAGTGCTTGGCTGCCAACCCAGAGATCAGCAGTTCAAACTTACCAGCTGCTCTGTGAGAGAAATATCTGGCAGTCTGTTTCTGTAAAGTTTTCCAGCCTTGCAAACCCTGTGATGCAATTCTGCTCTGTCCTACGGGATCTCTATGAGTTGGAATCAACTCAATGGCAGTGGGTTTGGTATAGTTTTTTAAGGTCCAAGGGAGAGATTGGTATAAGGGAGATCAGTGGATGGATGAATGGATAGATGGATGATTGAATAGTCGCACATGTGGATAGACAATGGGCACACAGGTAGTTGAGCAAACCAGGAAATGAGTGGATTAGAAAGCAATGGATGGATGGATGGATGAAAGAGTGGATGTATGAATCAATGGACAGAGGAAGTGCCTGGGGAGAACAGATGATGGATAGGTGGATGGATGGGTGGACAGATGGGTGGATTGAGAGACTGCCATATGAATGTACACAAAGATGGGTTGTTGGGTGTTTTGCAAGGGCAGAAACCTTTGCTGAAAAAGCATGGGGAGGGGCTGGGTTGTCTGTCTGAGATGAACTCTGGTTTCCCGGTGGATATCTGGTCGTATGCCGCCCTACCTTCCTGGCAGTGCTCCTCGTCACTCCCATTGAGGCAGTCAGGCTGCCGGTCACAGACCCTGGACAGTGAGATGCACGTGCTGTCCTCTTGGCACTGGAATGTGGCTCTGCAGACTGTAGGGACACAGGGAAGGGGCAGTGGGAGGAAGTCAGAGAAAATGCTGAGGCTTTCTGATGCCCGGGGAAGAGCCAACGTATGGCTTTTCAGGGACCGCAAATCCCTTTCAGGCCCTCGGCACCTCAACTTGCACAGCAACCTTGTGAGGGACCCAACTTCACAAATGAAGATAGATGAAGAGCCTTGACCAAGCCTTGGCTAAGCTTGAACTTAGAGCCAGATGCTGTTTCCCATGAGGCACCTCCTCGGGCACCTTGACAGGGTCCCCCAGAGGGATGCTGCAGTCTACTTCTCTATTCTCATGTTGAACACTTGGAAAGGGGGTTTGGAGAGATCAGACTAGAAAGGGCAGCCTGCGTGGTGACCCTGGGGCCAGAACCCAGGACTCAGAAAGGTACTGCTCCATTTTGAGCCCCTGAACGGAGGGGTGAGGGCCCTTCTCAAGGGGAGGGGACAAAAGCTTTTCTACTGGGCTGCCTGCTCCTGCCTAACAGCCTCCCCTTGCTCGCCCGACCTCCACCCTCTCTGTTCCTTCTTGGAAGGCTGGCCATGCACACATACATGGGTGGAGAGGGAGGAGCCCTGAGCCAGCAGTCAGGAGACCAGGGTCCCAGCTTGTCCCGCCACTGCCCTACAAGGTGGCCCTGGGGAAGACACTTTCCCATTCTGCTTCTCTCTCACCAGCTTAGTACCAGGGGAGAACCCCCTGCCTGGGTGTTGATAACAGGGACTGGGTGGGGGGTCTCTAATCAAAAGGGTGAGGCTGCCCCCATGTGGGCTCAGTGCAGGGAAGGCAAGCAGCCAGGGGAGTGGGTGAGGGGCAGCTCACCACAGTTTCTCTCATCCAGGCCGTTGGGGCAGTCCTTGATCCCATCACAGGCGGGGACACAGAGTCCGTTCACAGAGCACAGGAACTCTCCAGGGCAGGCTGGGAAGCCACAGGGACACCGTGGGGACAGAGAAGGGGACAGAGAAGCCATGCATGACCGTGAAAACACTCTAGTGTGTGTGCACCTGTGTGCTCACACATATTTAAATGTGTCCCTCAGACACCTGCTAAGTGTGTCAAGACATGCACACAATATATGTGGGCACATATGTGGTGTACCAGGAACACACATGGCAGCCTGAGCACACAAGGACATGCATGTAGCTGCATGCATGCTTGCACACGTGCATGTGCACACACACACATGCACACATAGATGCCTTTGTTCAGCCTGAAAAGCAACTGCCTACTCAGAGTTTTCAGGGATGGCAACAAGGCAGGGAGAGGGCTGTGGGGTTCCGGGGCACCCACTGTGCTCCCCAGCCTGCCCATACTCACGGTCTGACTGGTTGTACAAGCCATAGTGCACCTGCACGCCAGGCCCGGTGAGGGAGATCTGGGAAGTGAAGTTGACGGTGATGCCGGCAGTGGCCACCACGGGGATCCTCTCAGCATAGGGCTGTAGGGTACGCAGGCCACACAGCCTGGAGGTGACCAGAGATGGACTCAGAGCCCCGTAGGCCAAGCCTGGGCAAGGGTGGAGTGGGCAGAGAGAAAGGGGTGCTGTACCCCTCCCCTGCCCCACCTCCTGTCTTGGTCCAGGAGAGCATGGTTTCTTCTGTGGTGATCACTCACTCCCAGAGTCATCTTTTGAGAAAGTGTCCTGGCTGTGTCCCTCCTCTGCTCTAAAACCTTCAATAGCTCCCCACTGCCTGCAGGACAAAATTCAACATCTGGATTCTACTCCCAGCTTTCTGGCAAGTCCAGGTCCTTCTCTAACCCTCACTGTCCTTCCTTAGCAAACAAGGTCAATTGTTGGGGCTGACAAGGGGCTTCTCCATCGTGTCAGTAGAGGCAACAGTCCTTTCCTGCTGGGCCCACTCTCTGGGAAGAGGTAACTCTCCACGCTTGTGGGCGTGGGGGGCAACAGACTCCCATTCAGGCACTGCTGTCCCTCCTATGGAGACACCTCCACAGCCCTAGTAGTCTCCCTGTCGTGCCAGGGCATGAGGGCAAGCCTGGCCCCTCCTCCAGGATCAGTAGAACAGTGCTCATGGGCTGTGACCCCACTCGGAGAAGATGTGTGTGGCCTTCTCCAGGTGCGGCACACCTGTGTGGGGCCAGCCCTGCCCATGGGACTAAAGTCAAAACTATTTCCGTATCAACACTCGGAGGCCTTTTGCCTTTTGTGTTCACTCTTCCCCAAGTCCACAGTGGGGTTTCCAGAGGCCCGTGCCATGTGGCATCAAGGTCAATTGAATGGAGGAGCAGATATGATATGATAGCACGGCCCTCAAGCACGTCTAGACCGACACACTCCAATCCCCTCCAACCCATCTTCTCTGAACTTCACTCTCCTCCTTTACAAAATAAGAATACTGAAAGGTGAGATTTGGGAAAAATGTAAAACATGATATTCTTCTCAGCCAATCTTTGCAGATCAGGAACACATAATTATTTTTCATAGTTATTTATGCTAAAATTAATGGATTTACTATTGTTATTTTAAATTAAAAAGTAATATTGCTAATGGGAGCTCTGGTGGTGTAGTGCCACCAGACTGCTAACCAGAAGGCTGGCGGTTCAAACCTACCAGCCACTCCTGGGAAGGAAGGTTGGACAATCTACTTTTATAGTGATACTGCCTGGGAAACCCAAGGAGGGGTTGCTATAAGTCAGGTTTGACTTGACGGCAGTGTGTGTGTCTGTGTGTGTGTGGTAGCCATTGAATCAGGTCTGATGCACAGTGACCATGTACAAACACTGTCTGGTCCTGCACCATCCTCACCATCCTTGCTGTGTTTGAGCCCATCGTTACAGCCACTGTGTCAATCCATCTCATTGAGGGTCTTCCCCATTTTTGCTGGCCCTCCACTTCACCAAGCATGATATCCTTCTCCAGGGACTGGTCGGGACAACATGACCAAAGTACAAGAGACAGAGCCTGGCCATTCTTGCCTCTAAGGAGCATTCCGGGGCAGCTTCCAAGACAGATTTGTTTGTTCTTCTGGTAGTCCAGATCTATAAACATTCCAAAATTTTCTAAGTTCTCAGGTTTAGTATGGTAAATACAGACAAATGTGACCTGTATAAACAATAGCTCCTTAGGGCAAGCCATAATTTTTCAGAGTGTAAAGTGGTCCTGAGATGGAAATTTTTGAAAACTGCTAGGAGTCCCTGGGTGGCACAAATGATTAGGTGCTTGGCCACCAGTTGAAAAGTTGGCAGTTTGAATCCACCCAGAGGAAGATTGGAAGAAAGGCCTGGCAAATCTACTGCTGCAAGATCCAAAAAAAAACCAAACTCACTGCTGTCAGAGTCGATTCGACTCACAGCGACCCCTCCTTGGGTTTCCGAGGCAGTATCACTACACCTGCCAGCCTTCTGGTTAGCAGTCAAACGCCTTAGGGACTACGCCACCAGAGCTCTCTTGAAAATCATATGGAGCGCAATTCCATTCCAAAACACTTGGGGTCACCATGGGCCAGCAACTGTTGTTTTTGTCCAATACCACAATTCCCTGTGTGCTCACACATATTTAAATGTGTCCCTCAGACACCTGCTAAGTGTGTCAAGACATGCACACAATATATGTGGGCACATATGTGGTGTACCAGGAACACACATGGCAGCCTGAGCACACAAGGACATGCATGTAGCTGCATGCATGCTTGCACACGTGCATGTGCACACACACACATGCATACCTGGATCAGGCCATCTACGGAAGTAGATTGCCCAACCTTCCTTCCGAGGAGTGGCTGGTGGGTTGGAACCACCAGCCTCCTGGTTAGCAGTCAAGTGCCTTAGGCACTATGCTACCACAGCTCCCTCTGTAAAGGGTACCAAAAAAAAAAAAAAAAAAACTCACTGCCATTGAGTTGATCCTGAGTCATAGTGACCCACATTGGGTTTCTGAGGCAGAAAATCTTTACAGAAGTAGATTGCCCAGTCTTCCTTCCACGGGAGTGGCTGGTGGATTTGATCCACCAGCTTCTAGTTAGCAGTCAAATGCCTTAGGCACTGTGCCACCAGAACTCCTCTAGGAAACGCTATGGGGCACTTCTACCCTGTCCTATTGGTTGCTATGAGTCAGAATCAGCAGCAAACAACAAATGAATAAACAAAATGTTATGGTGGGTTGTCATTGCAAAGAATGGCTCCAGGAAGCAGGCAGGGGTGCTAGAGACTCGGGGATCCTGGGCAGGGCTAACAAGGAGCCCAGTGCATCCCTGCACACACTAGGATTCAGGCACCACTGGGCACTGTCCCCACTGAGCTGTGGCGAGAGTTTGGGGAGACAGAGAAGGAACAGGCGCTGGGGCTGGAGGAGATCGGAAAGTTTCAAGCTAGCGGCATCTGAGGATTGTGTTGTCACCCCAACCTCAGCCAGCGGCTTTAAGTCACCAGCATCTGCCAATGAGGTAGGCTTTCTCTTTGTGTCTGGGACAGAATTCCAGACTCAGCTCGTAGCTGGCGGCAACCCTCCCACCAGGCTCAGTCTGGTACCTGGAACCTGTCCATCCTGGCCAGCCCCAGCTCTTGCCCTGGAGGCATGGGGGCAGCAGGCAGGGATGGGGGGCCTGGGGGAGTCCTCAGGGGGCAAGCCTATCAGTTAACAGGGGCCAGACAAGTGCAAGGCAGACAAGTGACCCAGGCTGCCCCCAACTCAGAGATCGTTCAGTCTGTGCGATGTTTTTAAAAATAATTTAAAAAAACGTAATGGCACCTGAATTCCTGTTGTACTCTAGATTCTTGCTTCCGTTGAAAAAGTAGCCCCGGCCACACCAGCTGCAGGTAATCAGAGCCACCCACACTGGGCAGGGCCGCACCCCTCCTCGCCGAGTCCCCGCCACCCTGCTCCCTCCGCAAGTACTGAGCGGCACCCTGGCCTGGCTCCTTTGCCCATCTGGGTTGTTAGTTCACTGTAGGACCTTTGGGGAAGGACAGGCCCCTGGATCTCTAACTCTTCACCCCCACCAAGCCCCCCCCCCCGGACACACCAGGGGTCTAAGGCCTGTGGAGCCCCTTCTCTTCTCAGCTTCAGCAGCTCTTGAGGCGAAGGCACTTTTTACACTGTGTGGCCTGCCTTCCTCTCTCACCCTCTAGACTTGGGAATAGTTCCCTTCTTGCCTCACCCAGACAGTGAGCAGGGTGTCAGCCTTGTTGTGTATTAGGAACTTCACATGGAGGAATTCAAGGAAGACTGGATGGATGGAGGGAGGGAGGACACACATACACACACACACGCCCTTTCCTAAGGCCTTTCTTCTGTGGTACAGCTGGTTGGGTTCAAACCACCAACCTTTCAATAGTAGTGGAACACAATCCACGAGTGCTGTCCAGGGACTCCTGACCCTTGGGTGTTAAATGGGAAGGAAGGTCAAGGGAGGCAGGCAGGTCAGAGGTGGCCAATGCGTTGGACTTGGAGCCACAGGGGCCTGGCTTTGTGAGGCTGTGTGACCTAGGGCACATAGCTCAACCTCAGCCAGCTTCAGTTTCCATTATCTGTAAAATGGAGCTGATAATATCTGCCTGGTAGGATGTTTTAAGGAATCAATGAGAAATTGACTTCTTGGAAAACAGGCCACTTATCTGAGTTCATGGCAGCAGAGGGGGACTGTACTTCAGCACCACCCAGCCCGGGATGCTTGCCCCACGGTGCTGGTCACCCCGGGGCTCTGAAGACAGGAGGGCCACCCCCAGCTAGGCCAGGTCACAGGGGCTCCAGGAGGCCCACGAACAGCCGTCACTGCCTGTGCCTGTGAGCTAGGTGGCGTCGCCGGGGCAGAACCCAGAGAAGTGATGTCAGAGGAAAGGAAGCTGGCGACAGGGGAAGCAGTTCCTGGAAGGGAGTAAGCGGCACCGGTGACACCCAGCTGAGCAGCTTCTGTGTAACACAGAGGCTGGAGAGCGTCCGGTTCCCACAAGGCCAAGGCCCTCCACTCCTTCTGGGCCACTCAGGGGTCACAAAGCCTCATCCACAATGTTCCCAGGCCGGCACCCTCTGCTCCTCCCCATCAGTGACCATTCTGGGCCGGGACCGCACCTCCCCCTCCTTATGGATCTGGGTACGAATTCTGAAAATCCAGACCCTTTCCCAGAAGGGTTTGCACCATCCACACCTGCAGATCCTCCCAAATTTCACTTCAAAGACTCTCCCACCATCTAGAGAGGATCTTTGTCACAGGGGATGGTAACCCAGGGAACGGTCTGCCCAGGGCTTAATGTTTGCAAGCCCTTTCACACGAAGACCTGGGCAGGAGTCTGGAGTGGGGGGTGTGATTCCTGACCTAGGGACCCCAGACTGTTAATGCAGATCTGGAAGGTAGAGGTGGGACTTCTTAGGCTGCTGTTGGAACTGGCAAGAGTCTCAAGAATGGTCAGTTCTCTACCACGAGGCTCATGGATGGATCCAGGATGTCCTGGTGGAGGGACCTAACAGCTGCCATGGGCTACTCAGGGGGTCTGGAGCAAGAACCCA